TGTTTTTAATCCATCACGAAATCATGTCAACTCTACCTCTGGAGGATAACTTTAATCTGTTCATATCTAATTTTCTATTCATATTGCTGCCTCAAATTAAAATCACAACAAATTCAGTGTAAAGATCCTGGGTGGCATTATTTTACAACTCTAGAACCAGGAATTGCTTTCATTCCATGAAATAACACAAGTGTTCTATGGGCTAACAGAAGAAGAGGTTGGTTTTATAGATGGAGGAGAGTTGAAAAGTAGAAACAAGAACAGTCAGGTCATTTCAGTTACTTTCTTGGTAAGGCATGAGCAGGAGATAGCACATTAGGTTACTTTGGGCCACTTTTCCACAAGGATTAAAGTAGAGGGAGTGGTGCCATAGTTGTGAGGCAGCAGTTCAGCTGGTGCCATACAGGAGCCCTGACTGGAGTCTCAGCCATTTGACTTCTAATCCTGCTCCTTGCTAATGTGGCTGGAAATTCAGGGAAAGATGGTCCCCTACCACGCACGTGGGAGACCCAGATGGAGTTCTAGGCTCCTAGCTTCTCACTGATCCAGAACATCTTTGCAGCCAAATGGGAAGTGAACCAGTGGATATAGGCTCTGTCTCTGTCTCTACTTTCTCTCTTTCAAATAAATAAGTAAATCTTTTTTTTTTATTTAAAGAAGGAAAGGTAGCTTCATTACAATGCTATTGAAGTTGAGATGTGTAGGAAATACGGCTGTTATGTCTCAAGATCAGATATCAATTTAGTTTGCATTTGGTGACAGTAAAACTTAGCACAAATGACTCTTATTTTGTTTTTTTGTGTGGTACATTTGGGCTTAGTGCAGGAGCCTTGTCTAAAAAAATTGTTGCCTATACTTTCCATTTAACACTGCTCTCTACCTTGCTTAAGGCATCACCAGCTTTCATCTACTTTAATGCAATACATTCTATTCAGTGACCCTGATTTCTCCTAGCTCTTCCATAGTCTACGCAGACTGAAAGACCTTAAACAAAAATATTATTCATTGACTCTTGACCCTTGCATAATCATATTTTTAATATTGTATGTAGTTAGAATGCGCTATGAAAAATGTAACCAAGACCACTTCCACTCAAGACGATGTGATGCATTTAGAATAAAGCACCAACCCAGAACCTGGCCTGCCAGCCACTACGTGATATTTGGAAGGCCATTTTCTACCACCCATCCCTCCGAGTCACTCCCTGGTTTTGCCTATTTTCTGAACACAAGTTATTTCTTTCCCTAGAGAACCAGGCAGGATCCTGGGCTAGATCTTCCCCTTCTGTTCAGACTCTAAATAGAGTGTCCATGGGCTCAGGCTTCAAACTGGTTCTCTTTCCTACCAAGAGCTTTCAAAGTTGTATCTCCAGCCCGAATCTTTCTCCTCAACGCAAGACTTCTCTGCATGACTACCTACTTGATATTTCTTTCCAGATGATCAGCAAGCATACAAAAGCTAGCCTGCGTATATTTTGAGAACTCGAGACCCAAACACACTCTTATCCCATTTCAGTAAATGACAGCTCATCTTTACCAATAACTTGGTTGTTGAGCTATTTTTTAAGCTCAAAGCTTATGCCTAATCCATGAGCAAATACTGTAGGCTCTAACTTCAAAATGCATGCAGAATGTAATATTTTTTCACCTTCTTCTCCATTGTACCCAGGCCTCAGCCATTACAATTCTGCAGCTATAGCCTCTTAAGGATTTCCCTGCCTCTATTCTTCCACTTCTACACTCTGTTTTCAGTGCACAGGAAACATCCCTTCAAAACAGAAAGCCACCGTTACAACATCCTCTGGAGAAAACTCCCCCAGGGTTATTGCCATCAGATCAACTCACAGTCCTTTCCACTGACCAAGTGATGCGGCTCCTCTGGGGAATCAGCATCTGCTGTTCTTATCTCTTCCTTATCCTGTTTAGGTTCAGCCTCATTTAGCTTCTCTCAGCCTTACTGTTCTGCGGACTGCACTGCTCTCATGGCCTTTGCACTGACAGGTTCCCTTCACCCACAGTGCCAGATGTGCACCTGCTGCCTTCCAGAGCTCTGTCCAGGTGCCTTCGTAGGAGAGATGCTCTACTGACCCACTTTGTGTGAAACTGCACTCTCCTGTCATTCCTTTACCTTTAGTGTTGACAACAGCAACATCCACACACACAGCAGTAACCATGGACCACGAACTATATTAGATCTTTCAAGGATTATGTAACCCTATAAACAGCTGCACAAAGTTGGTTAACTTACTTGTTACACAGTCACAAAGCTAGTAAGTGTTGCAGCTGAAATCCAAAGTCTAAGCTACTACAACACTTTGTCTCTATGATAACCCTCTTCACCACTTTGTATTTGTTTATTCTTTCCAGCTCTTCTCATTTGTTTCAGTTAGCACTGCGTTACCAGCCATCCCAACGCTCAGTGGCTTAAAGCAACAACTTACTATTTCTCAGGAATTGGGTCAGGAATTCAGGAAGAGCTTGACTGAGTTATTTTTCTGCCCCACTTGGCACTGGCTGGTGTCAATCACCCAGCAACAGTCAGCTGATGACGGGGCTGGCCTAGAAGTTCCGGAAAACTCCAGTCACACATGTGGCACCTCGGCGTTGCTCCACCTGGCCTCTCTGTTGACACTGCCACCTGGCTGCAGCTTCCGTAGGGCAAGCCAGCTGGCTACCCAATAAAGGGGCATAGAAGCTGCATGTTCTCTTGAAAGCCTTGATTTAGAAGATCCAGATTTCCACTTCTCTTAGCTAAAAAGAATCACCTGGGGTCAGCCCATATCCAGGAGAGAGGAAAGAGAGTTCTCTCTGAATGCTCAGTGGGAGACGGAGGGCTGCCATCCCTGGAGACTTCTGCCACACCAGCAGAGTGGATGTTCATTAGCATGTTCCTCCAGCGCTGCCTGACACATCACAATCATGACACAACAGGTTTTTCCTTCATCCCTGGATTCAAGGGACATGTGAAAGAGTCTGCAAAGGTCATCGATCTGAAGGAGTGTTTCCTTAGTCAAGGAGAAAAGGAACAAAAGGTAGACAACAGAGAACTCTGCCAGCTTTTGTGTTTGTCTTAAAAATAATGTAAAAAATGATTAGAAGTTCAAACAGTACTAAATGCTATAGAATGAATTTTCTTCCCTTTCTTAGTTTCTTATTGGCAGCCATTGTTGCTGTCCCGCAGTGATGGACTTGGTGCACGGAGCCGATAATAACATGCGTGGACTCTGACTGATGGTCAAAGCCGAAGTTTATTAGTGGCATCAGACTTTATACACTGAGGGTCATATGGGATAAGGGAGGAAGTATTGAGCTTATCAACAAAACCCATCAACTGTTTCTATGCTTTTGTTTGGAACTCCTTTTGTCTTGTATATTCCACCAAGTGTTCTCACTCACATGCTGTCCACTCAACTGTTCTCATACAAATGATATCCAATCAGTTATACAAAAGGTATCCATTCGGTTGTTCTCATGCAAATATTGTCCAATCAACTGTAATCCTGTGCTCGCTGACCTTCTAGGGTCACAATGTCCTCCTACAAGCCATCTTTGAATGCAACCTTTCAGAGAAATATTTGCAGTTATACGATTATATGCCTTTTGTTTATAGCTAGGTATATATTTATCATCCATCTCCTGAATACATATGTATGCCCATCTGATATAATATTTATTCACATATTTAAACAGCAGTCTGTTTAAGTTTCACCAGCCTAACTTCCAGATCATTCCAAACAAGTACATCTAGATCATGCTTCAAAGTGGTTGAATGGAATGTATATATCATACGATTTCAAAAGTCAGGATGTGACTACGGATTTCTGCAGACCTAAAGAAGCAGGAATCATGGATTGGGAAGAGAAAGACTGAAAGAAAATTAGTGCAAAGGAAAGATGGACAGAGAAAAAGTTAAAGATAAGGAAGAAAGGCACAGGTGTATCATATACTGAAGAAGAGAGGTGAAAATTGCAGGAAGAGGAAGGATGCATAGTTGAGCAAAGTCTCCAAGAGGATCTGAGGGGACAGTGAGTTTGAACGGATTCCTGAGAGGACAGAATATCTCTAGGGAGGAGGCAAAGGCTAGGGCTGTAACAGCTGTTGGGAAGGAGTCAGGGAAATTCAGGTCTAGTGTTTTCTTACTTTGCTTACAAATGTATGGACGTTGTCTTTTCTTTAAATGCTTCCCAAAGGAGATCGGCAAGTTCTCCTGGCTCCGTGGAAGTTCAGACCAGTAGATACACCTTTGGTGTGCAGTGGTGCCGAGTTGCGGACTAGGGTGGCTAGCCTGTGGGAGGATAAGCAATGCATGGAGTTAGAGTCTCGGGAGGCAATGGGTGCAGTGTTGGTGAACGCGAGGCTATACGCACTAGCGCCTTCAGACCCTGTGACTACTCCAGAAGGGTGGGCGCTGTACATTCAGATCCGCATCTACAGCGACAACACCTAGCTTAGCATCAGGTGGCTCGCACCCACAGCGTGCCCAGAGTGGACATTCTTTGGGAAAATCTTCACGGAGTGATGGCGTGGCTGAGACAAACAGCCTGTTGCGCAAGTATTGAGGAAGGAGCAAGCGAACTGATTTTCCTCACTTAGTATATCGAAGGACCCTAAAGCAGTAACAGTAGAGATTGGTTTGCTTCCTTTTGCCTCATTTCGCCCTCGGGCAACAAACACACAGTGCTGCGAACGGGCGCCGCATGGAGATGACGTCATTCGAGGGGGCGGGAAGCGATCGCCGGGTAGGGTGTCGTGTCCACAAGGCAGTTTGAAGTTAGGTTATCCTTTTCTCTTTATACCACCGGCTCTTGCAGTTTGAAGGTGTAAAAATACAACAGCTGGTCCCCGTCAGCTTCCCTGCCTTCTGTTACTAAGGAAGCATTCGGGTAACTAGGCCCGGGCGACTCCGTGTTACGTCATCCCTGAAGCGCGGCCTAGGACTGGTGGCCCCGCCTTGACCGAGGGAAGAGGCCTCACTTCGGATTGCGCGTCTGGGCGTGCGCTGCGCATCCTCCGGAATTTGGATCCCTACGGGACGCCGTGGGCCGTCTCCTCGCGGACCCGACCGACGCCGGGAGCAGTTCCCGCCCGCCCGTACCCTTGCCCGCCGCCCTGCAGCCCCGCCCCGTCCTGGAGGCCCCGCCTCCCGTGAATCAGCTGATGTCGCGGACCCGCGGGGCTCCAGCCGGTGCCGGGCGCGGTGCTGCCGGTGGCGCTGAGGTGAGCTGGCGCGGGTCCCGAGCCGGCCCTCGGCTTCGGTGGGCGGATCGGCCGGGGCCGCCCGTGTGCGGGAGGCGAGCCGGAGGCTCAGGCCGAAGACCGGGAGGGGACTGCGGGAACCCTGCGGCCACCGTGCCCGCCCCTTCCCAGCCGCGCTCCGACCCGCGGCTCCCGACTCGGCCCCCGGGCTCCGGTGCCGGACTCTCGCGTCCGGCCGGTCCCGTCCCCTCGGCGGGGGTCTCCGCCCGCCTGGGATTCCTCACGTTCGCTCTTCCCGCCTCCACTCACGCTGCCTTCCATCCATTCATTCGCGAGGGTTTGGCCAGCTCCCGCGCGGGGCTCTGAGCTGACTACCCCGGGTCCTGGCCGGGGACCTCGGTGAGTGCGTCTCCGGCGGCTTGTCCCGGGTTTCCCATGGCCGCGAGGGGCTTGAGAAGGCGGCGGCCCAGGGAGGGGCTGGCTTTGCTGTTAAGGATCGTCCTGGTAGCTTGCGAAGTGATCGTCGGGAGGAGAAATAAGTTCTTGGGAGCAGGTGTTGCTGTCGCGGGTCGTGCGGCTGATGCAGCCGGGGGCTGGGCCGTGCACGCGCCGCTCGGGGCGCACTGGTCCAGTGGCCTGTCCAAGTGTGGGATGGATACACGTCAGTAACTCCTGTGCCCAAATGGAGACCCTCCCTGGATTGTTGCTAGGTTTATTGGTGGATGTAGTTCTTAATACGGCTGTTAATATTGTGGGATGTTTCCTTAGAGAAATCGGTAAATCTGTTGGCCTCCGACCGTGTGTGTGTGTGTGTGTGTGTGTGTGTGTGCACACGTGTGAGAGAGATTTCTGAGTTAATGCACACTTAAAAGAATTCAAAGCATTTTTGAATTCACTTTTGCCAACAAGGGCGCCGCCTTAACCATATCGTTACAAGGATACTGGTTAAGATTCTAGGTTTGCATCTTTGACTTTGGGCGAGTTCCTGAACTGCTTGGTCTGGATTCCTCTATCTAAATTGGGGATAAATGTTCTCCTGATATTACTGCTCTTGTGTATGGTCCTTTGCTTGCTTATGACAGTATTTGGCTTATGGTAAATATTCATTACAAAGAAACTATTTCTATAATTGTTTTTTTTTTTTTCCACTGCAGCATGATACAAATCGGCTTTATGTCCTAAGTGCAGGGAAGGATTACTGAATATTTTAAGTAAGGGCAACTGTAGTTCACCTCTGCTTTTCTGATCCATAGGCCTGCATTTGGAGAGTATGATTTCAGGTTGGTTTGCAGGAGCTTGGTCTTCAGTTGGCCTTTTAAGGTGGAAAAGCTGCTGGTGAGATGCATACGTGGTTTAAGTGTGTTCTGGAACTGTGGCTGGTTTGGGCAGAGTCCCAGGCTTCAGCGTTGACAAGCTTTGTCCCTCAGAGAAGCATGTGATTGGGGGAGCTTTTAGTTACCCTCCTTTACTGTGGGGACCGAATCTCTGAATTTCAGCTTTTCAGAACAAACATAGGTTACTATCTGAAACACTTTTTGGGCATTTTGGTTGTGGCCCAATCAAAGGGCATTCTAAAAACTTGCCTGGATTTAGTTTTTGTGCAATTAGGTGGAAATTCTGCCTGTAATCCTATCATGGAAAACATGGCCTCGAGGCCGTAACTGCTGGATCTGTTCTGAAGTTGCTTCCAAAGAATGTGACTGACTTGCATGAGCCTTTAATGTTGCATGAAAGTGAGTAAGGTGTGAGTTGGAAAACAAAGAGCAAGGTGGAAGGGCCAGCGGCAGAGGGGCAAGAGGAGGCCTGCTTTGATGTGGCGGGAAGACAAACCTTTCTGTCACTCAGGGGTGATGCGAGTACTTCCCTGACTTTTAAATCATGGAACTCTTTTTATCATTTTGCCAAATTAACTCTACCATGTATTCAGCAGTTTCAGGAATCTAAGTTTTACTTCACAAAGTTTGTGGAAAGGTGGAATTAAAAAAAAAAAAATTGATAAAAGTGCACAATGGGAAGATCGTATTAAGAAAAAGGATAGGGTCTGGTGCTGTGGCCTAGCAGCTAAAGTCCTCGCCTTGAATGCGCCGGGATCTCATATGGGTACCAGTTCTAATCCCAGCAGCCCCGCTTCCCATCCAGCACCCTGCTTGTGGCCTGGGAAAGCAGTCAGGGATGGCCCAAAACCTTGGATTCCTACACCCGCGTGGGAGAGCTGGAAGAAGTTCCTGGTTCCCGGCTTTGAATCTGCTCAGCACCGGCTGTTGTGGTCATTTGGGGAGTGAATCATTGGATGGAAGATCTTCCCCTCTGTCTCTCCTTTTCTCTGTATATCTGACTTTGCAATAAAAGTAAAATAAATCTTAAAAAATATATATGAAATTATTTTGACTCAGGCTGCGTTGAAATCCATGAATAGTTTTTTTTTTCCCAATAATAATGTATTTCCCACAAAGCTTTTCAAGATCGCAGCTAGATTTTTCAGCTACAATGTTTTTAAAACTGATTTTTCTCAACCCTTTTTCATTGATGACCAAGTCAGTTACCCAGGAATAAGAAAGTCCCACAACAGATTTTGTTGATTGTCAGCTCTTAAGAAAGTGCTTGGTAACCACAGGATAGCAACAAACTTGGTTCCTTTTTAGTAGTGCATTTCGCTTGCTTTTCCCAGCTCTGTTCCTTCGTACATGTGATGGTGGCATCTTTACCTTGTGTCTTGATGCTTCTGTGCATTTAGCCAAACTAAATGAAGTAAGTGGGCTGAGCAAAAATACTTGAATCAGTGAGGCAGGGAGTGCTTTTCTGGGCTGTTGCATAATTTTGAATTGGAAGGAAATACAGTTTCTCATCTCCTCTGAGAAAGGCTTTGCTTAGGGGTTCCCCTGGCTGCAAGAGAATCAGCCCTTGGGGGAAGATCAGCTTAGCTTCATTAATTCTACACATTGATCAGCTCTTGTTTCCCTTCCTTGTCAACATTATTTTTGTATTTTCCTTCTGACCTGTTACAGGCTCTTCAGTCCACCTGTCCTGCTTAGGAAGGTGCTGGTTTCAATTTTAGAACAGCATTTTGGTGGGCCAAGGGTTCTTCCACAGCTTAGTTTTTTTGGAGTCAATTTCTTTTACTAAATTTTGGGCAGTGTTTAAGAAAGCATGTAACGAGATTGATTGTAGCAGTTCTCTCTATTAATAACAAAGTGAAGGAAATCTAACTAGATGATAGGAAAATAGATAAACTCGCTTTTTCATGCAATTGAGTGCTCATCCCTTAGTAAAAATGAATGGATTGGATCTATACTTGTCCAGATGTATCATGTTGATTCAAAAAAGCAAGTTGTCCAAAGATACTGTATATTGTGTACAGGACACTGTAAGGTGCATTTAACTACACTTTCGAGATGATGGGGCAGTGTGTAACTAGAAGTACGGGGACATAACTGGGAAGGGGTCACACAGACTTTTGAATAGCAGCTGAACTTTTTCTTCTGTTTTAAAGAAAGAATGGATGCAAAAGTGACAGTGTGTTAATATTAAGACTAGGTGAGGGATCTATGAATTCATTATTTTTATGGTTGTATGTAAGGTTAGTTTGGTTTGTGGAACTAGCCCTTTAAGTTTTTATTTATAGTCACGACTCTTTCTCAGTGAACTTTACTTGTAGCCTCGGAGTAATAGACTCCGGAAAAGCAGCTCTGCCCACAGTAAGAAAGGAATGTGCCTCTGCAACCCATGCCAGGCAGGCTTTTCCTAGGAGAGAAGCCAGAATTTAAAAGTCTAGAGATGCTTAGGAAATGCACACATGTAGTGATCATTAACTCGTTGTATGGGGAGTTGGATGCTAATGCCCTGGAAGGAATTGGAGCAAAGAATAATGAGAGTGTTAAGTTACCATAGTTTCATGTGGTCACTCACAGTGTTTAAAATTCAAGTTGGTTACATTTCATTATAATGTAGTAGACCAGGGTTTGTTATGTGAATGCAGCTTTTCTGTTTATTGCCCCAAGAAAATGCTTTTCTGAACAGATATAAGAAAACATGATGGTAGCATGTTAATTGAGTAATGAATAATATATTGTTCGCTGTTCAGCAGTGATGGGCTTGGTGCATGGAGCTGCTGTAAGAATACATGTGGGACCCAGTGCGGTAGCCTAGCAACTAAAGTCCTTATACGCACCAGGATCCCAAATGGGCGCCAGTTCTAATCCTGGTGGCCGCACTTCCCATCCAGCTCACTGCTTGTGCCCTGGGAAAACAGTCAAGGACGGCCCAAAACCTTGGGACCTTGCACCCGCATGGAAGACCTAAAGGGGCTCCTGGCTACTAGCTTCAGATAGGGCCAGCTCCAACTGTTGCAGCCACTTGGGGAGTGAGTCATCTGATGGGAGATCTGCTCTGTCTTTCCTCCTGTCTATATTGACTTTCCAATAAAAATAAAATCTTTTTAAAACTACGTGTGGACTACTGACTGATGGTCAATAGCCGAAGTTTATTAACAGCATCAGACTTTTTTTTAAAGACAGATGGTCACATAGGCACCAGGGAGGAGGGTGTGAGGAATTATAGTTCAACAGCAAGACAGAGTCTGCTTTCCTTAGTTCCCTAGTTCCCTTTCCCAGCCTAGGGAGGAAGCACCTTTGTTTGTTTGTGTATACAATCAATTGTTCTCATGCAAATGATGTCCAACCAGTTGTCTTCCTACAATGTAATTTAGTAACTGATCTCCAGTATAACCTTGGGATTTAAGTTTGTGAGTTGAACAGTATTTTCATTTTTAATCAAAAATACGTATTACTAGCACTTTCAAAATGAGTTCAACTTACTCTGAGTAATAGTTTTGGTGTAGGTCCTCTTTAATTGTTGCTTCATTGATCTTAGGCACTCAGTGTTCTCAGGAAAAAGAGCTTCTTCATACTTTGAATTCGATTTTTAACAATTGTGACCATTTTAGTAAAAGAGTAGTAACTATTAAAGGACTAAGTCTTTTGTATCTGGAATAACCTGTATTAGCTAATAACATGGCACAAGTT